TCGCCTTTCAAACAAATGCCACTCACTGACACGCTCCTCCTTAATTGGAGGTTGAGGTCTGAGCACCACCTTGCTTCCAACGCTTTGCACCCAAATCCTTGGCAACAGCCCACTCCATCCCTTCGAGTTTCCTTCCTTTACAAACACCAGTCTGGCTCCTTGGAGCAAGTTCCGTTTCCACAGCAGCAGAAATATTAAAGTTGCTGGAGTACACTGGAACACGAGGGGATTTTTTTCCATGTATTTTTTCAGTATCAGTGTGGTATATTGTCTCTTTTAACTAACACACAGAACTGTGTCTTGCAGTGTGCGTGCGTAACCGTCATGCGCTTCTAGGAGCCTGTACGTGTGACAGAATTTGGACGAGTTGGATTGAGGGAGTTTAATAATTTTTTTCACAGTTGTCTTGCTCAGCAACAGATAAATTCATCCTGCAAGACTGGTGCGTATTCCTTCTGTGTTGTGTGCCTCAAGTGAAGGTTTTTGGCGCATCTCCTGAGGTCAGTGGGATTTGGCCTGGCAAATTCTAGAGTGGGAGATCATAGGAGAAAGTATAGAGTGCCTCGGAGAAGAGCCATCTTGGTTGAAGATACCTGAGGTGGCACTGGACAGCTTGTGCTGGGAGCGGGCCATCTGCTGATACTGTCCTTTTACGGGTGAACGTGGTCCCTCTCGGTTGTGTTTGGTGGGCAGCAGGGGTGGATGAGCTATAGCTGTCTGCCCTCCTTCCCATCTGGATGCACCCTTACTGTTGCAGCTAGGGCACAGTAATTGCCAGTCATGCTCTGTTTTTCGGGACTCTTCCTTTTTGAGAGGTTCCAGCAAACCTGGAATGAGAAGGATGGAGGCAGCGCTGTGGGCTGAGAGGCGCTTTGCTTCCTGCTGTTCCCCGGACACCCTGCGTGCGCTGCGGGAGGTGTTGGTGCTCTGGCATCAAGAAGGTGCTTTGTCATAGCCAAGGCTGTGTTTGGTGGGGGCAGAAAGGGAGTTGTGGCACCGTTCCTCTCCTAAACCGGGCGTCTTGCAGGATGAATGTTACATGTGGAAGTGGTGAAGGGTGAAAGGTGAGGATAACTCGGATTCCTCAAAACCCCTTTGCTTCTTCACAGCTAGCAAAAGTGAGCGTGGGAAGGAAGAGGAAGAGGTGATACCTGGTGACGCAGTGGGGATGATGTGGGACAGGAAAGGGGGTGAGGGAAGCATCAAGCCTCACTTGACTCACATTCCTGGAGTGGGAGGGAGGAGAACGGTTACTGGTTTCCAGACCTGAGCTTGCGTAACTGTTTGGTTAACGTTTCCTTCTGGGAGAGAAACATGTGCCTTGTCAGCCCCTGAGAATGGTGTCTGGGAGTCAGCAGGGTGCTGGCTAAAAGGCAATTGATAACTTGCTTTTATGTGGAGCTTCAGGAAGGCTTTGTTGAGCTCTTCTAGGAGAGGGGTCTCCTCACAGGTGAGATGGAAAATTGCATCATTGATTTGAGGGAGAGCAGCAAAGCAGAAATAAATGACCGATTTTTTCCGCTTTGAAGGAAGTAAAAATAGTTAGATGCCCCCAGGAGCAGTACTGGAAATGGTGTCAATCAATACAAGTATGAAACATCTAGAAAAGAGGTAGCAAAATTTGCTGGGGAGAGCAGTTAGGGAAGACTTAGGTCCTTCAGAGGCATCTCACACTTCAAAAAAAGCAAGGCAATGGGACAGCCCTATAACACGTGAAATTTGCTGCAGGCAGGTGCTAGGAAAGAGAACAACAGAAACTGCTCTGAGAACCTCTGAAGTGTGTAAGTGATGTGGGCTTCCTCCACTGAGACAGAGGGAGAGTGTGGGAAGGAAATCATGAACAGATTCGTACGTAGTGTTGGTACAAAATGCAAGCTGTTAGGCTGTGTTTAAAATGAAAGGATGGGGAAATGGAGAAGAATTCCGAGAGGGAGAATCTCATGAGGTTCTGTTTTGCTGATCTCCCACTCCAAAAGGAGTGACGTGCGGAATCAAACTTCACAACTCAGAGGGTTATCAAGCAGGTGTGTTTACTGCAGCGCCGGGTGCGAGGGGGATCGCTCCTCCTCACTTGCACACCGAGTCACGAAGCGTGCACCTATTGATTACAAAGCTTATCTAAGTAGGCTGGGCTATTGTCATTATTTCTAGGAATTCGTTATCATACTCCACCCCCCTTCAGCACTTGCGCAGTGTTGTCTGGTGGTCGTCTGTGGGGGTCTTCTGGATGAAGGCTCGTAGTCTTCCTCGCTGCGTGCTTTCACCTTTGGCTTAGAAATTCCTGAGTTGTCTGTGTTGGCTGAGTCCCAAACCATAGGACCAGTTTCAGCTGGAGAGTTGCTTCTTACAGACAACAAAGTTCTGGTTATCAGTCCTTGTTTCTCTTCATCTGTCTCGCAAGCAGCCCTTGTGAGCTACATTTGAGCCATACCAGTCCTTGGTAGCAAGATTACAAAGAGCAGAACTAAATTAATTAACAGTGTTTAACTCTTACCTTAACATAGCTGCAAAGTTATATAACGAAATTAAACTAAAGCTATAGCAAAATCGAACTAATTGTAACTGTGTCCAGTTCTGGGCTCCCCAGTTCAAGAAAGATGAGGAGCTACTGGAGAGAGTCCAGCGGAGGGCTACGAGGATGAGGAGGGGACTGGAGCATCTCTCCTACGAGGAGAGGCTGAGGGA